TTAGAGTTTAACTTTTTTTTTTATTTTTTTTTCATTAATTTTATAACATATCAATTATTTATATTTTTTTATTTATTTAATTTTTTAAATATAAATTTAGGGGTATATGAAGTCTTCTAAAAAGTAAAATTACGAAAAATGGTTACTTTTCTATAATTTTTTCACTTTATAAACTATTTTAATCCTTTCTCATAAGTTTTGTATTTCCAATCTTTCTATATGTTTCTTAACATTTTATGATTTTCTTTTAAACTTATATTCCATTTTATAAATTTAACTTACAATTTTTCTACTCTGGTTTTTTACTATGCACTATTTTTTATTTTTGTGATTTATTTTTTAAAATTTAAATTCATTTTTTTCAACTTAATTTACAATTTTAAAATTGTTAATTTTTTAAATTTATATATTTTACTTTGATGTTAAGATACTTATTTTTTTTCTAAGCATTATGAACTATTGAATTATTAATGAATTTTCACATTTTTCTATCTAAAAAAAAATTTAGTAGCTAGGCTTTATACGGAGTATTACTGTATTAGTTTAAAGAACAGAAGTACGTGATCGGTGATTCAAACATGCCTGAGGTGTAAATGTTAGGAGAAAACATTGCGATAGCCGGTAGGTATGCTTCTTCGCTGACACGGATGGTCTATGGTCTATTTATGAAAACAAACGCGTGAGTAGTCTATATTTGAAAGAAATTCTTAGAAGTGATAAACTTGATATTATTTTAACTTTTTAGACTATTTGTGATAATTTCCCTTTTATAAGGTGCCTCAAATAAGTGTTTGGTAATCCAAGTACGGGCCCGATTGATAGTCTAATTAATCATTTATTAATTAAGTCTTTAATCCTTTAAAACATGATTAATAGTAGGAAGTTCAAATACATGGAATAGATTCTAATTCAATGTTTCCAGTACATGAGGGTGCGGTGTCATAGTGTGATTATTAATAAACTTTACTCCTTTCAAACATTGTACTCCTATCAAATTCTAATTCAATGTTTTATTCCTATCTAACATTGAACTCCTATAAATATACTTGCTCAGCTCTAGCAATAGATACGATCATATACGATCAAAGCACTCACATATTATTCACTATTATATTCTGTATTCACGGCTCTCTATTGAGAATACACATTTATATTAATATATACAATTTATTTCCATTACCAATTCGTCCGTATTGATTCAATATTGCCTATGTTAGGTCCCTGTTTTCTATTCTAGAATGTGTATGGAAGAACAATCTATGTATTTGTGAAGCTTTCTATTGATGATGAAGAAGTTTACAGAATGATAGAGAAAACTTAGCGTAAAACTTCTATCACCGAAATAGACACTGTGACTCTAGGGTATGAGAATATTTGAAAAGCTTAACCTACTCATTCTCCTAAGGGGCGTATTTATAACCTTGAGAATGATACGTTAACAAATGATTGGGCTCCAACTTTAAGGAGGCCCATTCCTATTTAGGCAATTGATCACAATACAATTAATCACAATACAATTAAAATATCTCTAACAATCTCCCCCTTTGTGATCAGATGTTCTTGTTTCTTCTACTCTTCACTTCTGAGCTTTATAATAGTGCTTTATGAGATTGAGTGCATGCTCGTAGCTTCTGAGTGATCTTCTTTGCTCACGCCAAAAAAGCCAATAAATCCTCCCTGATACACTTGTAATTTCCATTTGTATGTGTATGTTTTTAGTTAGTTTTTGTTGTTTGATACTTCGGAAATTACACATTTTTGGTGTAATAGTTATGTTTTGTAATATTTGTAATTTGTTTAGATAAGGTCCATTCTGAGCTCAAACAGGTCCAAGATCAATTAAATGATCATTGGTGAAGGAAGGTGCAAGAGTACAATACAAAAAAAAGGAAAGTTCCTGATTTTGACCTGTACCCGGTCGAGTATACCCTCTTACTAGATCGGGTACCAACTAGATTTTCAATCAGATCAATCAGGAAACAAAGGGACGTGCATGGGAAGATTTGGCCACGATCAATTGTCATACCCGATCGGGTACACCGTACACCGACACACCCGATCGGGCATACCTATAATTTATACCCTGATTTCGATCGAGTATGGTTCGGATTGAAGTTTCTACACATACCCAATCGGGTATCAATATATACTCGATCGGGTACACGAGATGCAGGTCCAAAAGCCTATAAATACACCCCCTTTCCTTCACAATAAAACTACCAATTCCTATACACTTTTAAGCTCAGTCTAGATAAGTTCTTTCTTTATATTTTTCATCATCTTTAGTCTCCAAATGAGGAGCTAAACTCTTCCATCTTGGTTTTGCTACTTTGAAGCTTAATGAATTGTAAGTTGTGAGTTATTTTCTTTAATCTTCTTCCTTGAATATTAATTAATTCCTATTCCTATTACATATTAATATTTTGAGCATTACTTAAAGGATCAACTAGTTTTGTTTCATATATTAATTAATACTAGAATCGGTCGATTAATACGTTTGTTATTAATTCGGTCATTTCACGGTAGTAAACTTGGGTTGTTAATGCATGCGTCTCATGGTTAATAACCTAAGAGGAATTAATTATATTGATTAAACCGATAAACCGCTTGTGTTGAGATTATCAATCTCAATCGTTTTCATCTCTATTTTATTGCTACTATCGAGTGAATATATGGCGCATGTTTTATATTAACTCGGTAGTAAGTTTTATTACTGAACGCGTCTCGTTATTAATAACTACCCTCGATGAATTGGATATACTCCTCGATTGAGTATTCGAGAGGAAGATAGTTAGTTAAAGATATAACCGGGATCGACGAACATTTCATTAAGTGGATAAAAGCAAAGCCAAGTCTTCTTCTCATTAATTAAACCACATAAGTCATTCATCTTTGTGTTTAAATATAATTTAAGTTCATCAACCAACCTAAACCCCCCCTTGTTACATATTTCTAGTTTTATAAAAAGAGAAGTATTTCTTTCCCTGCGGAGACAAACCTTACTACGCTATACTACGTGTAAGTGTTGTATTGTATTATTATTTTGAGTGCACATCACGACAAAGTGCACGTCAAATTTGGCGCCGTTGCCAGGGAAAGGCAATAATTTTTCTTTTTCTTTCAATTCAAGAAAAACAAAATAAAATAAAATAAACAAAATATAAAGAGTTCTTACCTTTTCTATTTCTGAGCTTACTGAAGTATATGGTCAAATATCGTTCATTGAACGAAATCACTTATCAAACAAATCCCGAAATATAACAAGCCTTCGAGAGGTTGAGAAATTTATTTCCGCACACACCCTCGGAGGAATCCTCAAACGCTAGCTCTAGTTATAGCGAATCTGAAGAGCCAATCACTATGGCTCAAGAAACAAGAACTTTGAGGGAGCTCACAGCTCCGAACTTGAATCAACAACCATTATGTATCACCTTCCCTACACTCAACGGGGGTAATACATTTGAGCTAAAATCTGGGCTCATTCATCTTTTGCCATCCTTCCACAGTCTAAGAGGGGAAGACCCAAACAAACACCTCTCGGAGTTCCATGTCGTATGCACAAACATGTGTCCTAATGGAGTCACCGAGGAGCAGATTAAACTGCGGGCTTTTCCATTTTCACTCAAGGACACCGCAAAGGAATGATTGTCACGCCCCGGACCTACCGGACACGTCAACAACCCGCCGTACAGTACGAATAGTCAACCGCAGTCCAACTCATCCATACTATACTAGGCGTCTTGAATATCATTCACAATAGTACATCCATAAACAAACATAATGTAAAATAATCATTTAAATCAGCGGAAACGTTTAATACAAGTGTTTATGCCACACTTCGGCAACATGGGCGTACAAGCCCCAAATAATTATTCAAAATAATATCCATGAGCATTAATTTAATGTTTTAAAAATAGAACGGAGGAAGCACGAACCACGTCTTCTCTCCCTGAGCTCCCCGAAGCAACGGGCGATGGTAGCAAGCTTTACTCCCTACCTGAAACTGTGAGGTGGCCTCCCCCGTGAAGGGGAGGTCAGTACTTGGAAGCATTTGACAAGTACAATGACAACTATACTAAGTATAATCAACGTTTTAATTTCTAAGACCCTCAAAATAGGGTGATATCATAATATAAATAATAATTTATATTTCCCACTTATTATCTCTATAATAAGTAAATTTATTTATTTGTCGGCACACGGCCCATTTCATATATTTCATTATACCCGTCGTTAGCACGACACCGCCCGTAGGTCTTATCATCCTTTACGAGACTTGTCACCGCTCTCCGAGGCCTCACCGGGCTCTCGGGCCGGAGTCCAACATCCCGCCCCTGAACTCATACCCATCATCCCGTAGGAAGGTAAGGTCCATTCGGGGTCCTATCTTATGTGTTACCGCTGTCGGGAGCCTCGTAAGGTCTCCGGTTCGGATTCCACCCTAACCCGTGATCACGATGTAAGTCCATGCTATCCAACCCCGCTCTCTAGAGTCGGGAAGGGCCATGGTCCTTACTAATTACCAATACTCTATCGGCTAATCCTTAAAGACTACCGAATACACCCGTAGGCCAATCCTATTCCTAGGATCAATTTATTATTCACTTTATCTTGGGTATCCCTTAAGGCCTACCCCTAGCATCACTTATCCACCTTAGTATCTCTTAAGACTACTTAAGGCTCAACAATTTACAATCCAAACCTTGGATCAATTCTAACATATTTCATTCCAAAACCCCGACTAGTATCATAATACTAGTCGGATAAATTCCAACAAAACTCATTTTCAATTCATAGTCATATAGACAATTTCCAAACTAATTTTCCATTGAAAATATAGTTCATATCAATATACAAAATATAACCTTTAATCACTCATATATCCTTATATGAAGTTATAGTTATATTTCAACACATTATTTATAATTAATCCCTTCATCAAGCCAATATGCTCATATTACATAATCATACACAATTTATCCTTAAATTTGTATATTATGCTCCTTTATTCATTGACAACAATATTTTCATTTAGGCATTATTAATCATTAATAATCCATGAAAATCACATTTATTTACTTTAGGTAATCCTACGAAATTAACCCAAAGATTATAAGCAATATAGTCAGCCATCCTCACCTTATGATGTGCTGCAATAGTTGCCTTCGTTAAGCCCTTCGATCAATCCCCGTTCTAAACCGATTGGAGATGAAAAATCTGGACAGCAGACGAAAGCCGGGCGGCTTTCGTGAAAGGTGGGCGGCTTTCGTGGTCTGCAGCTACGAACAGCCTCCTATACTTGGCGGTTTCCGGCGGTTTCAACTCCTATCGATTCCACGACTCTTCTAAGTTAAATACCACCACTTTATAACATTATTCTACACTTTTAAACGTGTAGAACTTCATGTTTAATCCACCATATGATTTATTAAAAATCATACAAAATAATACTAGTTAGTTCATACTAGTTGGATTCTTACCTCAAATCCTAGCCCTTTTGTGTTGGGAATACTTCCTTCTTGCTTCCTCCAATCCTTGGACTTTTTGAGAGCTCTTCCTAGAGGTTCTTCCTTCTTGATATGGCCGAATGATTGCAATGGGAAAGGGGGAGGTATTGTATCTCAATCAAACCTCCAAGTTGAGGTGTTGATAGGCCATATGGGGTGATATTTGGTCTTGTGCAATCTCATCATCAAATAAGTCCGCCCCTCCCATGTTCACTTGCCTCAAAATTATTATTTTGAGTCTACAAGGCTTGTAGGAAAAACCCCAATTGGGTATAGAAAGTCCCTCCCAATTATTCCTGCTATTTTCGGCAGGTTGGGCCAAAATAGCACTCGGGTTGTCCAAATATTTTTATCAACTTTTGTTGGCACTTTATTGGGCTTCTATAATTTACTATGATGACCCAACTAAATATTTGGTAGCCCAGTCACATATACTGGACCCGATAAATAATTTAATTAATCGCACATTAAATAAATATGCCAATCAATTACATGAATTTTATTTGCTAGGAAAATTCAATTACATGTCGAATTTCAAATTCAAGTACATCCGGGCGCGGTGTCACAAGTTCACCCCCCCTTAACGGGAATTTCGTCCCCGAAATTCACAAATGCTTACTCAAACAGAAATGCATATTGATCCTTCATTAAGGCTTCCGTTTCCCAAGTTTCTTCCTCAACTCGGTCACTTTTCCAAAGGATTTTAACCATTGGAACTCTCTTGCTCCTCAACTTCTTTACTTGCCTATCAAGTATCCTTACCGGTCGAACGGCATAGTTCAAGTCCTCACGTATTTCCACGGGTGGTTTCTCTAACACGTGAGACGGATCCGGCACATATTTCTTTAGCATAGACACGTGGAACACATTATGTATCTTCTCCAATTCTGGAGTCAACTGCAATCGGTATGCTACGGCCCCAATTCTTTCAAGAATCACAAATGGCCCTATGTAGCGTGGGTTAAGTTTCCCTCGGCTTTGAAATCGGATGATTCCTTTCCAGGGTGAAACTTTCAAGAATACCTCATCTCCCACCTTAAACTCTAAGGCCCTCCGGCGCTTGTCGGCATAGCTCTTCTGTCTATCCTGGGCCGCCTTAAGCCTTTCGCGAATCATCTTCACTTTAGACTTGGTGATCTCCACCAATTCCGTGCTCTCGAGTTTGGCCATGCCAACCTCATCCCAACACAAAGGTGTACGACATCTCCTCCCGTACAATGCCTCGTATGGAGGCATGCCAATACTCGCCTGATAACTGTTGTTATAGGCAAACTCTACAAGTGCTAAATGGTTGTCCCAACTTCCTTGGAACTCCAATGCACAAGCTCTCAACATATCCTCTAAAATTTGTATAACCCGCTCAGATTGTCCATCTGTCTGTGGGTGAAAGGCAGTGCTGAACTTCAGTTTTGTCCCCATGGACTCTTGGAACTTCGGCCAAAATCGTGATGTGAATCGTGGATCCCTGTCGGACACAATGGTTATAGGAACCCCATGTAGCCTCACGATCTCATCCACATACAATTTGGCTAACCTCTCAAGTGCATAGGTAGTGTTGATAGGTAGGAAATGTGCACTCTTCGTGAGCCTATCAACCACAACCCATACAGCATCATAATTCCTCACGGTCCGTGGCAGTCCTACCACAAAATCCATGGTCACGTGCTCCCATTTCCATTCTGGAATGGAAAGTGGCTGCAATAACCCAGCTGGATGCTGATGTTCTGCCTTAACTTGCTGGCAAGTAAGGCATTTACTGATGTACTCGGCTATTTCTCTCTTAATACCAGACCACCAGTAACTTTCTTTCAGATCACGGTACATTTTCGTACCTCCCGGGTGCATGGCATACGCCGATGAATGAGCCTCCTCTAAGATGGACTTTCGGAGCCCCTCATCCGATGGTACACACACTCGGTCACGAAATAATAAGAGACCATCATCTCTTTCCCTGAAGTCCTCCACTGGTCCCGCTTGCATGCGTTCCCGGATCCTCATGATTTCCTCGTCAGTTTCCTGACCCTTCTTGATCTCATCAAGCAAAGTAGGTCTCACCTCAAATCGTGCCAATAAGGCTCCATTACTGGATACCTCCAGTTGGGCTCTAAAAGCCCTCAAGTTAGCTATCAATGCCCCAGATGAGCTCTTCCGGCTCAAGGCATCTGCCACCACATTGGCCTTGCCTGGATGGTACTCGATTACCAGGTGGTAGTCTTTTATCAACTCCATCCACCGTCTCTGCCTCATGTTTAACTCTTTCTGAGTAAACACGTACTTCAAGCTCTTGTGGTAAGTGTATATGTGGCATGTCTCCCCGTAGAGATAATGTCTCCAAATCTTCAGTGCAAATACCACTGCCCCCAGTTCTAAATCATGAGTAGGATAGTTTACCTCATGCTTCTTCAACTGTCGTGAAGCATAGGCAATTACCCTCCCATTCTGCATCAACACACATCCAAGTCCTTGGATGCTAGCATCGCTATAGACATCGTACCCCATACCTTGCTTGGGTAATGCGAGTACCGGTGCCTCGGTCAATCTCCTCTTTAGTTCAATGAAACCTTTCTCACATTTGTCATCCCATACAAACTTAGCTCCTTTACGAGTGAGCTTCGTCAATGGTGATGCCAAAACGGAGAACTTCTCCACGAACTTTCTGTAGTAGCCTGCTAACCCAAGAAAACTACGAATTTCCTTGACGTTCTTTGGCCTCTCCCATTCGGTGATGGCTTCTATCTTCTTGTTATCCACCGCAATTCCCGATCCCGAAACCACATGCCCGAGAAAGCCAATCTCCTTAAGCCAAAATTCACATTTAGAAAATTTGGCATAGAGTTGCTTCTCCCGTAGTGTCTCAAGAACGAGTATCAAGTGCTCCTCATGTTCTTCCTCACTCTTTGAGTAGATCAAGATGTCATCTATGAACACGATCACGAATCGGTCCAAGTATTTGTGAAATACTCGGTTCATCAAGTCCATGAATGCCGCCGGGGCGTTTGTTAACCCAAACGACATAACAAGGAACTCAAAATGCCCATACCTTGTGCGGAAGGCACTCTTCGGTATGTCCTCCTCTTTAATCTTCAATTGATGGTACCCCGACCTCAAGTCAATCTTTGAAAACACGGTTGCTCCTCGTAGTTGATCAAACAAGTCATCAATCCTAGGCAAAGGATACCTATTCTTGATTGTGACCTTGTTCAGTTGACGATAGTCAATGCACATTCGAAGTGTTCCATCCTTCTTCTTCACAAAAAGGACTGGTGCTCCCCACGGGGAGTGACTTGGTCTAATGAAACCGTTATCCAAAAGCTCTTGCAATTGGGTTTTCAACTCGTTAAGTTCTGCGGGTGCCATGCGGTATGGCGGTATGGAGATTGGTTTGGTGCCGGGCTCGACCTCGATCACAAATTCAATCTCCCTATCGGGTGGAAGTCCCGGTAAGTCCTTTGGAAAGACATCCGGATACTTGCATACCACCCTCACATCATCAATGCTCGTCTCTTCTTTTGTTTTGTCTACCACGTATGCTAGATATGCGTGGCAACCCTTTCTCATCATACTCCTAGCTCTTACGGCGGATATGATACAACTATTGGATTTGGCCCGATCCCCCTCGAAGCGTAAGGTTACCCCTTCATCGCCTTCGAGTTCAAGTATCTTTGTGTAGCAATCGACCCTAGCATGATGCTTCTCAAGCCAATCCATCCCCAGGATTGCATCGAATTCAATCATACTCAGCGGTACGAAATCACACGTCAAGTTGTGGCCCTCCACTTCCACCTCACACGATGGATAGTGGCTATCTCTCTCGATGTCTTCCCCTAGAGGTGTGGATACCAATAGGGCTTGAGTCATCGGTACAAGTGGTTCTTTGAATCCCCCGGCAAACGCCTCACTCACGAATGATCGTTGCGCCCCGGTGTCAATGAGGATTCTTGCGTCTCTCCCGTTAATCTTTAGTGTTCCTACATTCATAAGCAATGTAAGACACACTCCCCACTTATTAGACTCATTTCTTAGGTTATAGAGTACCCCGGCTATGGTCTGGATGATCGTCATCTAACGCCCCATCCCAATTCCATCCCGGTTCCCACCTAAAAATCAACACCGTGCACCAATAAGGGAAAGCCGGCCGCTTTTCATGAAAGCCGGCCGGTTTTCGTACCTTGGCCCTCGGCTCGGAATGACTGGTTACGTAAGCCGGCCGGTCTTTGCCAAAGCCGGCCGTTTTTCGGTCGCCGAACATTTATTCAATAAATTTCCACCTCAAACCCGCCCGGGTTTCGCAGAAACCGGCCGGGTTTCGGTTACGACGTATTTTCTTGTCCCTAACGAACGCCGGCCGGGATTTAGGAACGTCGGGCGACGTTCGTCGCCGTAGGAGTTTCAGTTTCTTTATTTATAAAAGCCGGCCGGTTCTCACGAATGCCGGCCGGTTTTCATTGGCAACGCCTCACACCGGAGACGCCTGAACACAAGCCGGCCGGTTTTTACAAAACTCGGCCGGGTTTTCTCCGCCGAAGGATTTTAGCAAAAAATCAAGCACGAAAGCCGGGCGGCTTTCGTCAAAGTCGGGCGCCTTATAGTCGCCGTAGAATTCTGCAAATAATTCGAAGGCGAAAGCCGGGCGGCTTCCGTCAATGCCGGGCGGCATTCGCCCCCAGGTGGATATTCATCCACTTCTCCGAACTTGCACACTCCCGGTTGGCTATACAATGTGTACATTTTAACACTTATGTTGTATACAAGGGAATAACATCAAAATTCAAGAATTTACCCGCGACGGAGTCCGGGTTAGCACGTGCATCGGCCTCCGTAATCGCATAGACCCTCGCTTGGGTCCTCCCTTGATTAACGGACGGTGCATTGCTTGTGCTAGCTCCACCGTGCCCCATGCTTGCACTCGGTGCTCCCGTTCGGTTCCTGCTCACCATGGTTCCACTGCTTGGTCCGGCACCCACGGCTCGCCCAAGTTGTGGGCAACTCACCTTCATGTGCCCGACCTCCCCGCATTGATAGCATCTCGGGGGATCACGGCACTTGCCTTGGTGAAGCTTCTTGCAGTTGCTGCACCTTGGTACTCCCGAGTTTTGTGACCTCGAGCTTTGCCCGGTTGGGCCTTGGTTTCCCTTCGATGGTGGTGCAGGGGTTCTAAATGAGCTACCTCCCCCGTGGTTCCCCTTCTTGTTAGAACCTTGGGGGCCATGGTTCTCCCATTTTCTTTTCTTCGCCTCATCGGCATCTCTTTTCTTCCTCTCTTCCCACTGTTTTTCGCCCTTCAAGGCTTGGTCTACCACTTGGGCGAAGGTCATGTTAGGCAATTGTGTTGCCCTATCACGTACCTCCAAGTCTAGGGCATCCCAAAAGTGGTTCACCATCCGGTTCTCATCACAAGCGTACTCCGGTATGTAGTCGGCAAGGTCCCGAAACTTGTACTCAAGTTCCTTCACCGTCATGTTACCCCCTTGAGTTAGGAGGGTATATTCCCTCACCTTCTTGTTCACCTCGAAGTCGGAGTAATATTGGGCAAAGAACTCCCGTTGGAAGTCCTCCCAAACGACGCCCTCGCCATACTTGCTCTTGGTTCCATCCCACCATTTGGATGCCATCCCCTCAAGCAACCTTACCGCTATTCTCAGCTTAAGGTTAGGCGTGATTTGCATGTCAAGGGCTGCTTCATTCAACCTCTTGATCCATTGAGCGGCAACCGAGATGTCCCCGGTTCCGTCAAAGGGTTTGCACCCCAAGTCTCTTGCTTCCTTGATAAACTTGGAGATCCTTATGGTTGGACCTCCATCATTTCGGCCTCCATGTGGTTCCACATGGACTCTAGATGCATTGTGGCTTCCTCCTCTTGAAGCCATACCCGAAGGTTGCCCCGCCCGGCGCCTTCGGCGTTCCCTCCTCTCCTCGCGCTCCCGGTGGTATTGTTGGAGCAGCGCCTCAATTCTTGCCAAGGAGCCATCTTGCTCCTCGTCACTAACATCATCATCATCCCCTTCATAAGGGGTCTCCACCGGCTCGGTTTCCGGCCTATAGGTTGAGTCCTCATAGGACCAATAAGTCTCACTCTCCGTGTCGACGTGGCCATCGCTCACGGTTTGTTGTTGGCCTCCACGGCCCCTTCCCCTTGACACCCTAGTGGACCCCCGGCTGCCGCGTTCGGATCCACCCGGTACACGGCCCGTCGGGTTCCTCCTAGTGATTCTTCCGATTGGCTCCATTTCTGAAAGAAGTTTAGATTGAGCCATTAGACCCGTATCAAATGTCAAGTGACGGATAGGTACTTAGAGACATCTTTTGGCTCAAATCACCGCCATACCAATTGTTAAGGGTACCATCTTAACAATTAGAGACCTTGCAACTCAAGTACCAAAAGTTCTATAAGTACAAAACTTTATGCTCATGGTTTTCAAAATCATTTTCAAAAGAATTTTGAAGCTTCATTATGAAGTTTACGGACTAAGGCTCTGATACCAACTTAATTGTCACGCCCCGGACCTACCGGACACGTCAACAACCCGCCGTACAGTACGAATAGTCAACCGCAGTCCAACTCATCCATACTATACTAGGCGTCTTGAATATCATTCACAATAGTACATCCATAAACAAACATAATGTAAAATAATCATTTAAATCAGCGGAAACGTTTAATACAAGTGTTTATGCCACACTTCGGCAACATGGGCGTACAAGCCCCAAATAATTATTCAAAATAATATCCATGAGCATTAATTTAATGTTTTAAAAATAGAACGGAGGAAGCACGAACCACGTCTTCTCTCCCTGAGCTCCCCGAAGCAACGGGCGATGGTAGCAAGCTTTACTCCCTACCTGAAACTGTGAGGTGGCCTCCCCCGTGAAGGGGAGGTCAGTACTTGGAAGCATTTGACAAGTACAATGACAACTATACTAAGTATAATCAACGTTTTAATTTCTAAGACCCTCAAAATAGGGTGATATCATAATATAAATAATAATTTATATTTCCCACTTATTATCTCTATAATAAGTAAATTTATTTATTTGTCGGCACACGGCCCATTTCATATATTTCATTATACCCGTCGTTAGCACGACACCGCCCGTAGGTCTTATCATCCTTTACGAGACTTGTCACCGCTCTCCGAGGCCTCACCGGGCTCTCGGGCCGGTGTAACACCCCACCCGAATCGGCCCCGCCGACCCGAGCGGTGTGTCACGTGGCAGAAAGCAAAACATATTTATATAAAACACTTTTAATTAGTTAAAAAAAAAAATTAAGTATTTAAATAAAATATCTTTATTCAAACGTCAACTTATTGTTCAATACGTGAAAATATCAAGTCACCATAAATCACTTAATATTATATAGCACAAAATATTTCAAGATATGCGGAAGCGTTTACAAAACGAAAATGATCAGATAAGTTTAAAGTCAAACTTGCTTCTTATTTGTTTATTTATAAACAATACACACATGATATGCACATGAATCCTACGCCTCCTTCCATCCCAGCATCCTTATCTTAGCTGAATGTACTTCAACCTACGGGTAGGAAAAACAAACAACTACCCGCTCAGCAATGTGCTGAGTGGTACTGTATAAATACTGATAACAATAATGATAATAATAATTATCACATATATTTAAATCAAATAGCAACATAACATAATTAGCATCTAGTCAAACAAACACTTAACATACCTGAGTGAGCCGAATAACTGTCATGAGAATCAAAATATTCATATACAGATCAGAAGCATATTCAGATGTCATAATTATCAAATATTTCTTATTCGGATGTGTATTATTAATAAATTCATTTAGGCCTTGTACTCAAGAAAGTGGACCTTGACAGAGGAATACTAACGGTAAGGAATACAGACATAAAGTCCATACCCACATTACCCAGAAAGGATATGGAAACGTAATCGCCGGAGCTACACGTACCAATCCCTAACAGAAGCTAGCTGAACAGAAAGGACGAGATCACCGAAGAGACTCGAACCTTAACAGAAGAGTAATAGTGCTCTAAAAAGATTTCAGGAGTGTACATAGTACACTAAACAGGAGAACACTAATTCCTCTAAGACAGAATTTCAGGAGTGTACGTAGTACACTAAACAGAACAGATCAGGAGTATTCGTGTCAGAGTGCCGGATCAAGAGCAAGACCTTTAAGAACATTTTTTTTAGTTTGTTACAATACAAATATTGAAGTTAACATATCTTACATTTAGGAACATTTTTCGGTATTGGTATAACTAAATTTGTACCGTATGTTTTCATTAATTTTAATTTCTACTCATCGTATCTTAATCATATATATTTATTTATAAAGTTTTTATATATTCAATATGTCCAGTCATTTCTTTAGCCATAATTATAAATAAAACCATTTAATAAATTTACATCACATGTGTTTGCTTGGATACGAATAGTAGTATCTAGGATCATAATTATAAAGGGACACATGTATAGTACTTAAAATAATGCATGTAAATATAAGCCTTACACATAGACACGTATGTATACATATTCTTGGTAAAGTCAACTACTTTTATTCTAGGAGTATATATTAATAATTTTCATGGTTCCACTAACTAGTTATACGTGCAAAGCTTTAAACTTATTAATAATTTATCTAATTAATTATACATACATATATTAATAAATTATTTTTACTTTATAGGCCAAACCTTCAAATGCGTGGAGTTATATACTCCGTATATATTATTTAATATCTATATAAACTTAACTTATAGCATGTGACTTTCAAATCTAAATTTCAGAAATAAGTAATACGGAGTATTAAACTATAGTCAGTATGAGTACAGTGCTTACGTAAATAAAATCTATAGAACTTAATAACCTACCTATATGGTTATATACGTGTGTTTAAACTTATATACTCCGTATTAAGTACGTTGACAAATCTTAACTGGCCTTAATAATACACATGTACTACATAATTATTTACGGAAATGACATTACAACGAATTACTTTTTTTTTTTTTACAATTACGAAATGGCATATAGCGATATTTAAATATTTATATGTGCATAACTCTTACAAGTATTAGTAGGATTAGTTTTTATGTTTCATGTAATAATGGAAATGTGAAATCCGTAAACTATAGCTTTCAAAATTAACTTAGTCGGTGGTCCATTTTATTATTTTTCAGATGTATACAAGCAGTCAAACCTTAATTCCGTCAATGGAACTTTTTCATTTTAATTTCATTTACATACGATGTATACTGTAATCATCAATAATAGCTCTTATAAATCATGAACACATAATTAAAGCATACAAATATTTCTAAGGCTAAATAATATTCATCATGTATAACTTAACATATATTTACCGAATACTAATATCATGTATTTAGAGCATGCAAAATATTCTAAGGCTATATGATTCTTCATCATCCCCATAACTCAACATGAAACGGGGACGGAAATTATACTTACAAAATAATATTAAAATATACATGAACTAAAACTGGGTCAGAAGTACTGACCTTATAGACAAATTCTTCTAAAATTTTATTGATATGAACACCCCCTGGTAGTATTCTCCTTCTTGCAGCTATATTTCTTTTGATGGTTTTCTTTACTTTATCTTTTGTTTGGATCGTGTGAAAGAAATAAGAAGAGCTATGGCCTATTTAAAGTCAAACAAGTCTCCTAGGAGTTTCAAAAAGAAAATAATTGGGTTGTCCTCTATCTCAATAATACGATGATCAATTGGCCTACTATTCATTGTTTGGATATCATTTAATTTAGCATGTCAATATGTCCCCCTTGAGTACTATTCAACTTAACTATTCCTTCAAAATAATGAAACTCCTAGCTTGTTTTACATGCAAAATATCTTGTATGAGTAGACATTTACTTGGTTGCTCGTCCTAATTCATTTAAGATACTTTACTATTACATTTTATATTTAAGCTATCCGAATTGTTATTTAGATTAGTCCAAAAGTTCATTTAATATTTAGGACACCTATTGTTTATCTCTATTATAGTTTATACTATTTTGGGACACGTGTTGTTTAGTTCGAAATGTTAAATGTGATTCCCTATCATTTAGTTTAGGTTTATTATTTTTATTTATTATAAAAATATACTATAAATTATACGGAGTAGGAGAGTTGTTTAATTTGATACTGTAATAAAATCTGAAAATTTCTTCACATGTATCTTAACTACTAGACCAGATTTTGGGGCGTTACATTTCTCCCCCCCTTAAAAGAATTTCGTCCTCGAAATTAACTGAGTTGACGTTATTGAATATATATGGGTACTGAGCCATCATAGCTTCTTCGGTTTCCCAAGTTGCTTCTTCCGTGGTGTGGTTCCTCCAAAAAAAAAAAAAACTTTGACTAAGGGAACCGTTTTATTCCTTAACACCCTTCACATCTCTATCAAATTTTTGTTTCAATTTTTCTTCATAGGTTAAATCTTTATCAAGCTCCACGATTCCAGGTGTTAATACATGGGAAGGATCAGATCTATATCTTCTTAGCATTGACACATGAAAAACATCATATATTTGACTCAACTCTGGTGGTAATGCTAGTCGGTAGGCTACAGAACCAATACGTTTAGTGATTTCGTAAGCCTTTTAAAGTTTAAACCATTCGATCTGTAAGTGGCTAAGTGCATATAATATTTAGTACATAACTAAATATATGAATATGTTAAGTTTGCATGTTATAGCGGGCTCCATCTATTAAAGATGGTAATTATTGCCCATATATACACACTTAAGTACCTACGAATGTCACAATTAACGTAGTACATATTTGCACGCATACCATATATTTACTTACACTTAACTGTTTAAGCCAAACGTTTTTATACATCTATATATAATAATACTTAACCGTAGTCGAATTCCATAAATTCTAATCCAATGTGCTTGCATGTTTTATTTGTATCTAAAATAATAAAACTTGGCTAATATTACTATGTTTAATAAATATAGAATATAATAGGGATGGTGATTTGGGTATATATATATGTATACCCACGTACATATATAGGTGGTCATTTATATAATTGGACCATACATGTGTTATATATGTATTACGTAGTATATATTCCTTGGTAAAATGTGTGAGTATTTATAATTAAGTACATGGTTGTCCTAAAGTGTAAATTTAAATAAAATAAAAAAAATACGGAGTTCATATCTTCAAATTAAAAAAATACGGAGGATATATATACACATATACACATGACATATGTCGATGCAAGCCTGTTATATGTCATTACGTTATTTACGTAAACTTAATAATTTTGACTCACACCCACCTAAACATTAGCATCACTGCATACAATAAACACTTTTCTATCTTAAAAAGTATATATCACATGCATGTCATCATAGTATTTCTTCCTTATGAATAACACTCATAGTATAGTAGTTTCTTTTATAATCCAAGAATCATAGAACAGTTATACGGAGTATTGAATATAACCATGAATTTTAATTTATTTTACTTTTTAAATTCACAACTTTATTTTATATTGCATTCATATTCTTTAAAAACGTAATTAACATGTATATTTTTGTGCCTATAAATCTATTACTCTAATAAATTTAAGAACACATATTTAGAGCACAAAACATTTTCTTCATATAATGCTATATGAAGTTCATTATCCTCATAACATAACAATTTGAAATGAGAATATTAAAAATTCTCATTAAGTAAATTGGCGCGGAAATGTACTGACCTTATTCTAAAATTTGTTGGCATGGGACTCTCCTATGCGGGCTACCTCCATCTCCTTGCAGCTAGTTTATTTTGGTGAATTTTATGGCTAGACCGATCTGAGTGATATATTATGGAAGGGAAAGAAGCTATGTTCCGATTTAAATCCAAGCTAATTAACCCCAATCAATAAAAAGTATTTCTAATCTAAATTCACTCCATTCATATGACATAGTCTTCAGCAAACAATTGTCTTATTAAACCAAGTGTTCAATAATGAAACTTTTGTCCTATTTGACATGTGTCCAATGATATTGAACCAAAGTTGTACGTGGCTACAGTTTAGAGTGTCAATTTAGTTGACTTAAGGCAACATTTACATAATTACATCCCCACTACAGGTGTATGTAAATATTTGAACTGTTAGGATAAGATTTCAGCACACACATAAGCTTTCAATGCCTTCACGTAAACTTTATGGGCATGTCATAGAATTTTAAATTTCATGGTCTTATAATTCTAGTTAATAGGTCATAAATTATTATTTTGGCGTACGAATCTCTCGAGGAATTAGTACATATGAGTTGCTATCAAATTTGAAATATGATTATAGTCTATTAAAATGTTTATCAAGATTTCGACCTTGCACATGATCACAATTCATTTCTAACGCTGGGTTTAGTATATACATTTATTATTCAAATTTCTTTATGCTATTTTATTGTTAATATGTATTGTGTAATTAATATTTTTAACTGTATGTTAGGATAAGCGAGCATGAAGCAGTAATGTTTTATCTTGGCAATTCATTACAGATTTATACTTAGTAAACCTAATTTATACTGACAATTTTGTCAAGTTCTGTATATAGTAACTTGACGAGGCTCATATGAAATTGCATAAATTGTATCTTAGCTTTTAGAGGTAATTTTGGTTATTTTGATTAACACTTATACTTCACCCTAGAGCCATGAATACTTTCATTTTTAAGCCAAAAAGATCTCGATCTTGAATGTTCAACCAAGCAATAGAGGCGATCGCATATATATAAGTGTGTAAAACAAAGCCCACTATAAAAGGTACATATATTACTTTAACTGTGTATGATATCACTAAATACCGGGATGTGAGGCAGTCTTCTAAAATGCGATGCAATACACAATTTCAAATAAGTTTAAACCCTTTTTTTTAATATGATGTTTTTTTTTCAGAATCGCTTTTAAAACCAAATGCTCTGATACCAAAATGTAACACCCTACCCGAACCGGCCCCGCCGACCCGAGCGGTGTGTCACGTGGCAGAAAGCAAAACATATTTATATAAAACACTTTTAATTAGTTAAAAAAAAAATTAAGTATTTAAATAAAATATCTTTATTCAAACGTCAACTTATTGTTCAATACGTGAAAATATCAAGTCACCATAAATCACTTAATATTATATAGCACAAAATATTTCAAGATATGCGGAAGCGTTTACAAAACGAAAATGATCAGATAAGTTTAAAGTCAAACTTGCTTCTTATTTGTTTATTTATAAACAATACACACATGATATGCACATGAATCCTACGCCTCCTTCCATCCCAGCATCCTTATCTTAGCTGAATGTACTTCAACCTACGGGTAGGAAAAACAAACAACTACCCGCTCAGCAATGTGCTGAGTGGTACTGTATAAATACTGATAACAATAATGATAATAATAATTATCACATATATTTAAATCAAATAGCAACATAACATAATTAGCATCTAGTCAAACAAACACTTAACATACCTGAGTGAGCCGAATAACTGTCATGAGAATCAAAATATTCATATACAGATCAGAAGCATATTCAGATGTCATAATTATCAAATATTTCTTATTCGGATGTGTATTATTAATAAATTCATTTAGGCCTTGTACTCAAGAAAGTGGACCTTGACAGAGGAATACTAACGGTAAGGAATACAGACATAAAGTCCATACCCACATTACCCAGAAAGGATATGGAAACGTAATCGCCGGAGCTACACGTACCAATCCCTAACAGAAGCTAGCTGAACAGAAAGGACGAGATCACCGAAGAGACTCGAACCTTAACAGAAGAGTAATAGTGCTCTAAAAAGATTTCAGGAGTGTACATAGTACACTAAACAGGAGAACACTAATTCCTCTAAGACAGAATTTCAGGAGTGTACGTAGTACACTAAACAGAACAGATCAGGAGTATTCGTGTCAGAGTGCCGGATCAAGAGCAAGACCTTTAAGAACATTTTTTTTTAGTTTGTTACAATACAAATATTGAAGTTAACATATCTTACATTTAGGAACATTTTTCGGTATTGGTATAACTAAATTTGTACCGTATGTTTTCATTAATTTTAATTTCTACTCATCGTATCTTAATCATATATATTTATTTATAAAGTTTTTATATATTCAATATGTCCAGTCATTTCTTTAGCCATAATTATAAATAAAACCATTTAATAAATTTACATCACATGTGTTTGCTTGGATACGAATAGTAGTATCTAGGATCATAATTATAAAGGGACACATGTATAGTACTTAAAATAATGCATGTAAATATAAGCCTTACACATAGACACGTATGTATACATATTCTTGGTAAAGTCAACTACTTTTATTCTAGGAGTATATATTAATAATTTTCATGGTTCCACTAACTAGTTATACGTGCAAAGCTTTAAACTTATTAATAATTTATCTAATTAATTATACATACATATATTAATAAATTATTTTTACTTTATAGGCCAAACCTTCAAATGCGTGGAGTTATATACTCCGTATATATTATTTAATATCTATATAAACTTAACTTATAGCATGTGACTTTCAAATCTAAATTTCAGAAATAAGTAATACGGAGTATTAAACTATAGTCAGTATGAGTACAGTGCTTACGTAAATAAAATCTATAGAACTTAATAACCTACCTATATGGTTATATACGTGTGTTTAAACTTATATACTCCGTATTAAGTACGTTGACAAATCTTAACTGGCCTTAATAATACACATGTACTACATAATTATTTACGGAAATGACATTACAACGAATTACTTTTTTTTTTTTTTACAATTACGAAATGGCATATAGCGATATTTAAATATTTATATGTGCATAACTCTTACAAGTATTAGTAGGATTAGTTTTTATGTTTCA